ATGAACATCAGTCCAAACAAATTTGTCAGAAGAAGAGAGAAGAAATAAGGGTGAAGCTTTCTGACTGAAATTAGGGATAAATCGAGAGTAATACTGTAGGGCTCCAATCAATGATCTGAGTTCGTGTATGTTAGACGGTGACTTGGCTTTTGTTAGAGGAAATAAACGGTTCGGGTCAGGTTTGTACCCTTTACCATTGACTAAGTATCCAAGACATTCAAAATGAGAGACAGAAAATAAACACTTCTTAGGATTAACAGTAACATTCTTATCAGAAAATCGACGAAAGAGTTCAAGCAATCGTGCGTCATGAGTGGACTTGTCAGGAGCATGAACAATAATGTCATCTTGATATACTTCAACACCAGACATACCACTAGTAATATCGTTCATAACTTGTTGAAATATGGCAGGAGAAACGGATAAACCGAATGGTAGAAACTTGTATCTGTACAAACCAAAAGGGGTATTAATAGTTGTCAAAGTGGATGATGTTTCATCCAACGGAATTTGTAAATATGCATCTTTTAAGTCAATCTTGGAAAATATCTTAGAACCAGTCAACTTATTCAGGATGTCCTCTGGTTCAACCGTTGTACATGTCCGCTTTAAAAGTCTTGGATTTAAGGTGATTCGGTAGTCACCACATATTCTCGGGGTCTTGCCATCCGACTTGAGTGGTGTGACAATTGGTGTACCCCATGCAGAAGACGACACCTTCTCTATAACACCTTTGGAACACAAGTTGTTCAACGCATTCATGACAGGTTCGCGAAGGCCATATGGAATGACTCGGCGTTTAAGAAATACTGGATCGCCATTAACTAGTAGTCTCACTGGGGAAATTTGCATGCCACCACTGGCCTTTGAGCATTTAATAATCAAATCCTTCAATTCATTTTCAGTATCGATAGAGGTTACTAAGGAAAGATTAACATTGAATGCTTGCATGGCTTTCAAGCCTAGTATGGATGGGCCAGATTTGGTTACAATGAATGTACAAGTAACAGTTTTAGAATGTTCATCACTGACTGAAATCTCACAAGAACCAACAACAGGCAGTGAGTGTCCAGTGATGCCATTAATGGTGATAGTGGATGGCTGAAGTTTAGCATCTGGAGCAAACAGTTTTAAATCGTGAACAGAAATTAGAGATTCCACACTACCAGTGTCCAAAATGAAATGAAGCGAATTACCAGTGGAACTGAATAGTCGTTTACGGATGTGACCGGAATGGGAGGTTATTGCCAAAGATAAAGAAGAAAAATGTTTGGCCATATTACTCACTTCTGAGTTTCGGGCTTGAATTAAACGACAGGTTTTGGTACTGCGACAAACAGACTGAATATGGCCAGTTTTGCCACACTTATGACATGAAGCGTAACGAAATCGACATGTGAATCTGGAATGACGTTTGCCACAGGATGCACAATTGCCATAGGATTTATCCGAATATGTCACATTGTGTGAGTTAGATTGTGTGGCTGGTTTGAAACGTCCGGCTGTAGCATGAGCTTTCGTGGATTTAGTCTTGAGTGAATTGAACATAGCTGTAGATTCAATGGTGGACGGCATGGATGAAGTAGCGGCGCGAATGTTCTGATATTGTTCACAATAAGCCCGCAAATCTTTGAACGTTGGATTGGATAGCTTCAGAAGTTCATTTTGCAAAACGGTATTGTTGATGCCAGCGGTCAGCCGATCTTTCAATTGCATGTCCAGTAAATCTCCAAAATCACACTTTGCAGCTTGGGTGAGCAAATCCAGGATGAATTCACGGATGCCCTGATTCGGATTGCGTACCATTGAATGAAATTTTGCTCTTCTGAGGCTTCGAAGTTCGTTGGCTTCACATGCTGGAGGAGTAAGGCTTTTAAATCATCGTACGGTACGGAAACTGGTGGAGAAGGATACGCCAAGTTTTTGATTAATGTATAAGCATTTTTACCGGCAGCATTCAAAAAGAAAGCGGATTTCTTTTCCTCATCGGGTTTTGGACGGGTCAACCACCAAATCTCAAAACGTTCAAAATAATCCTCGATATCGCGTGCACTGCAGTTAATATCAAGAAATTCTAGGGGAGTAGAATTCATTGTTCAGTAGACCGGCCTCGACACCAAATGTAGAACTTGGAATAGTATTCAAAATGGGATTCCAGAATTCGCATAATACCAATCCCCGGAATAGAACAACTTTGAATGGAATAGCACACGAGCTTTATTCGAATCGTATACTATGCATATTCAATGCATTTAAAGTGTACAAGGAATTTCGAGGTCAGTGCCACACATCACATATAGCTATCAAAAGACCCACACGCCTACAGGAAATTCGGAACAAACGATGATTAAAATGTGCAATAAAATGTTTTGATAATTATTCGATCCAGTTTTATTGATTCAGGAAGCAAAACGCTCTCTAAAACCGATCAGTTCCAAAAACAATCGCGTCTACTTCTGCGCCTATTTAGGATGAGCCAGAAATAAAAGTTCTCTTCCGACAAGGCTGATAATGGACAAAAGTATTTGGGAGGTTTTGCACTTGGTTGAAGGTTAACGAATATCTAACAGCTGATCCGCATGCATTAAATGGTTTATTCGATAGAAGCAATCCGATTCATATGCGACATTTTTTACGTCACCTAACGTGAATAAAATAGAGAAGTCATCAAACAATAAAATTTGCGCAAATGAACTCTTGTGAAGTAAGTAGTGAAGATAACTGTCTTAATGTTTTCAAAACCAAACAACAGATGCTCCTGAAAACTGTAGGCAATGATTTTGTGAGCGTTATAACTATCGATTTGGATGCGCATTGGGAAATGGTGACCAAAGCGATGGTTCGGATTTATCTCCTGTTTGGCAATCGTATGTTTCCCAGCTAGAACTGACGGTTGTGTTGGGGACAAACTGGTTGATATTTTCATAAGATCACAATATCCCTATCATGGTTGTTAGATGTCTTCAAATAAACTATCTTGAAGTGATCGTGTAATCTTTATTGAACTTTTTCAGATCGCGTTGGTAACAATTTTACGAGAAATATATTCAAGGGCGACCAAAGAAACTGATTACTGAGGACAGAGATGACTAATATTCGAACGGAATTAGACACGAAAACAGGTATCTTAATCATCTTCCGGGGTAAAGGTAAAGTTTAACCGTCATAGCACGAGGCTAACCACCAAGCTGATCGGCTTACTGAGGCTGTTGTTAACACAAAATAATAACTGCTTCGGAAAATCTATATTGTTCTGGCAAAGTATGACAAAAAATACATTTTTGGGACTCACAGATTAAAATCTAGTAGATGATGGGTGACTGAGCTGGGTGTATGCTTGAATTCATTTCACACTGTTTTTCAAGACATGCGTTACGACAAACTGATGCATCCTCAATAGAATAGTATCTAACTTCTTATATATGCCACACGAGCATTACAAGCTACTTGAACGCTATCGCGGCAAGCTTCCAATAAGTTTGTCCATCCAATTTTGAGGTAGTTTCTCAAATAAGAATCGTTTCAACGGAACTCATTTCTCTCAACATGAATGAATCATCCGTAGTTGGTTACTAGCTAATAGAAAACTTCAATATGACCATTTTGACAAGTGAACTGAACTAGTCAGAAAAATGAAAAAATCAAATGATGGTCAATGATCACATGTCTTACTACTGTAATTTCATGTGAGTTAGCGGAATACGCTGATAATTGCGAAGGACAACGGCTTCAAAAAGCCAAAATAAACAAAATGCGTATAGTTTATTCATGAAATGCACTTCAATTCTTTCGCCTCCTTGACACTGGGGGGATTAGAATGTACAAGGAACGATCACCACTTTGTTTTCTAGGACCGACCATTTGTTGTGTGCTTCTCAAGATTTCAGTTACCGAAACAAAAACAGGCAAAGGATTGATCATACCGGACAATGTATGCGTTTGTTTGAAAAAATTAAGAACGTAGTGGCAACCCATTGCTTTGTAGTCAAAAGAGTATTCTCTCTAGGAGACCAGGAATTGCAAATCTGCCTAATATTAGCTAGAAAGAATGATGATGACGGTGATTATCTGTATTCAACCATACTTTCCGTATACCCCGGAAAACTTTTCACAGTTTGCGCTATGTTGAATATGATCATTCTCCTAATTCCTCTTATAACTTATCAATCTTCTGTGAATTCTTTGTTCCAGTGAGTCATTGACACGTTTGTAATTCGTGGTTTCTATCTGGTTCGTGTTCAACCTATTAAACTATCACGTATTCCAGGAACGCAGTCAATGAAAAGCGTCCTGATAATTGTACGGATAATTAGAATGTGCATCTGTAAACCTGATAAAAAGCGCAGTAGTTGATCGACCGTAAACCGCTGTTACGACTGATGGATGATGGTGATACGAGCTGGCCTTCAGCTCATTTCCTCTTCAATGGGTGAACATTATATGCTTGTATTGAAAATGTATTGCTTTTCCCATTGATTAGCAGAATGAACTATTCAGCGTCATGCTAACTTATTACCACTGAAATAATTTATAATAATTGCGGCGTGCACAATGTGCGTGAAACATTCTACGCCTTTTGAAAAATCTTTCGCGGCGTCACACCAGAAAAAGAAAATATAATGAATATAATCCCCAGAAAGTGACTCACCGGTTAGAAATGTCTAATCATATAATAAATTATCATAAAGACAGTCTGAGTACATCTGGTTCAATCGATTTTCATAAAAAATCTGTTAGTTTCGAATGAAATAATGTTCACCACTGTGTGACCGGTTTCCTGGAGGAGCTGGTCCGCAATAAAGGAGTCCAACTCACCACATTTTAATCATTGCGTTAGTCCGGCTCCACCACTTGATCTATGTTTACCAATCATTCGGCTATTAAAATGAACGGCTGGGTAACTAGTTATAAGCATACATCTTAATTTCTTATTTACTTTTATTGAGGCTTCAGAAGATGCTGCATAGCCAATTCCAACCCAACTTCCATCAAAAATGTTTCAAACATTAGAAATTGAAACATAAACCAAATTCAATCTCTAATTACTGGGAACACATTTAACTTGAAGTTACTCCCCCTTCACTTCTACTTCTGAAAGAATTTAGATGAAAATATTTTCTCTATCACCACACCGCAGAGAAAATACTTTTTTTGTATTGCGTACACCCTGTTGTTTTCTAAACTGAGAAAACTTTTCGCTACTAATACGTCGCCCTTTTTCCTGTCTAGATATGCTTTCTGACGCTACATGATGCTTCTCCCGTTGTCAGTGGACGTCTGCCAAACTGTAACGTACTCAAACGGAATCTTTTATGCAAATTACAACCGGCGTATGTACTGCACAATGAAATCAATTCATGTTCGTCTTTCTTAGAAGTGACAAACAAAGGGAATTAGAAGTCTGGTGGCTTGTGCGTACGATTGAATTTCACCCTGGTTGAATATAAAATATTGCAAATTATAGCTCAACCTAAGTCATGCTTTTCTAAAAATGTTACAAATATGATCCGAGCATGCACCACTTAGGGACAAAAGAGTTACCGCAAACGGAGACTTCAAAACCTGACATGTTATTCGTTCGTTTTCTCACAAAGATGGCGTCTCGAAATCACAATGAAAATTCATTATCCAAAAATGTAGAGCTCTGTAGCAGTGCGACCCTCGTCAGCCTCGGAGTCGGAAACGCTGAAATCAACCTTAGTCAATGCATGTTATCAACAGCAGAGTGTGAAAGTAAAAACAAGTTAACTAGTGACACCGGAGCATCTCAAACGACTCAGAGACCTGCAGAAAAACAGAGAAATCATGATATCCAAGCCCGACAAAGGGGCAGGGATTGTGCTTCTGAACCGCACAGATTATGTACAAAAGATGGAAGCCATATTGAGTGACAGGTCGAAATTCACCAAAACAACAGAAAAGGATAAGACCGCCCAAATAGAGGTTGCCTTATCAAAGATATTGAGATGTTTAAAGCAAAATGGAGTAATCGATGCGACCACTTTCGAACGAATCTGGCCAACTGGGACAACGATTCCCACACTGTAAGGGTTGTCGGAGGTGCACAAGGAAGGGGTACCCTTGCGACCGATTCTGGATATGTCCAATTCACCGTACCAGGCACTTGCAAAATGGTTGTCTAAATTACTAGAGCCCGTAAGAATTGGAGTAGCAAAACACAGCGTACGGGACACATTCACTTTTGTGAACAGCATTCATGACTTAAACTTGATGCGTCGGACAATGCTTTGATTGAACGTTAGCTCGCTCTTCACCAATGTTCCAATCAGTGAAACCGTCGAATACCTGTGTAGTTATGCACAAAGTAACAATGTTGAGATAGGCCTTCCTTTGGAAGACCTGAAACGACTGCTTCATTTTTGCACATACAATATCCAATTCAAGTTCAACGAGCAGATTTATTGACAAAAGGATGGTGTGGCTATGGGATCACCTCTAGAACCGTTGTTTGCCAATGTGTTCATGGCGAAACTCGAAAATAACCAACTCAAATCTTCCATTCAGGATTGCGTTTTATATACACGATATATGGATGATATTCTGTACGTNAGGAACAAATGAGCTCTTGAGCAAACTCAATTCTGCTCACCAGAACATAATATTTACTTGAGAAGTGGAGAACGACATAAAATTGGCATTTCTAGATGTCTGTTTGAGTCTTACATCGGATGGCTCGGTGCAACGATCAGTGCATAGGAAGGCGACTTGAAAGGGCCGATTTATTCATTTTCGCAGCCTTGTACCGCTCAAAGTGAAGAGGAAATTGGTGCGCCGTCTAGCAGATA